CCGGTTGGTAACATTGACCGGTTTGGAAACTGTCTCTTATACACATCTAGATGTGTATAAGAGACAGGCATACATGTGTTACCCCAAATAACTAATTTTACCCTAAAAACAGTCCGATTGTACAGCAAGTGTCAACTGAACATGTAATAAAGCAGTCTGACCGCTCTAATGTGACCGAAACTACGCCATCGAAAAAACGTTGTTCACATTTTTTGCGGGAACTCATCGCAACTGATTTCTGGACAAGCTTCGTTGCATCGTAAACCATCCAACGTACCGGAAACATGGTGGCAAACAAATTTTTTGCCTTACTCATTTTTAGATGCGTTCATAACTTCATAATTCACGTTCACTTTTTGTTATTTTACTACACTGGGCCCGATATGGCATGTATTAAGTATTTTCATGCAGCGTTTCTTTTCTTGTACGAGGTGGTTGGTTGAGGGTAGTGATGCGGTGGCAAGGGTTGTTGATTTCGTGGCTCTTTACGAGGAATTGTGTAAAATTGCCAGTAGATCGGAATGCTGTTGAACAATTAGCATTCGGCATTCTGAGTGGAGGTGTGGTTCTGAGGTGATGTGGCATCCTCTGATTGTGCGTAGAGCAGCGTTTTGTACTGTTTGGAGGCGATTGAGATTTGACTTGGATGTGACAGGCATAATCGATTATTGGGCGGCCAATTGCTTTGAAGGGTTTGGAGGAGCGTTCCTTTATCTTGTCCGTATGTGGTCCCAGAGAGAGCTTTGAGGATATTGTTACGTTTCGAAGCTTTGAAGGCGATGTTTTTATGGTGGGCGGTGAAGGTAAACATCGTGTCGAAGGTGACGACGAGGATCGCTCGTTTCAATCGCTCGTTGGGCTGTGAGGGAAGAGACCGAATTGGTGTGTTGTTTTTTTTTTGTGTTAGTACCACTTCTAATGTTCCACCGAATACCTGTTCAAGAACTTATTTTCCGATCCAGGTAGTATGTTTTATCAAACATCCAATGACCATAGGTTGTTAATGTGTAGACGCATTTTTTGTTTGATGCGCAATGTCCCTGGAAAACAACCTAATCCATTTCCAGCCAAATCCATGTCATGGATCAAAACTTTAATTCAAGTCCTACAATGCTTCACTCATTCATCGCCTGTAAATTCTGCACCGTAATTCATGGCGCAATGCACGGAGTATCCTGAACCATGGTTGAATTAATACATTAATTCAATTAATTCAACCATGATCTAGGCCTGAACGTCTATCCTACAGCTCGCCGCCGTGCTGCTGCTGGGGGTCGTCCTGCTAGCCGTGGTCAGCGCCGTGCCCTTCCCCGACCCTTCACCCGTCGCCCTGCCCGACCCCGTAGCCCTCGCTGATCCTGAACCAGGCTACGGTTACGGCTACGGCTACCGTAGGTTCTACAGGCCCTTTAGACGCGTCTACCGCGGCTACGGCTACGGATATTACGGTTGAGTGCATTCGCCGACCCTCGAACCTGGCAAGCACAGATCATATCTGCTGGATTTATCTAGTATTAAGCTGATGGAATAAGATTGATAAGTGACAAAATATGTTAATGTGTCATTAACTCATAGGAGGTATTTACCTCATTACCTCATATTGCTATTTTTAACAATTCCGTTGAAAAATCCTGTTACCATAAAAATTGGACATAACATAATGCTTTAAGAACGAGACTTACGTTTTAGTTACAGTAGCCGCGGACATTTTCTTTGGTAATGGAATAAAACCTGTTCATATATGTACACAAAATTCGAGCATATAACGATTGTAAAGCAGCTGTTCTTAAATTAGATTTATAAATTAGGGAATTGATTCAGGAAAGTTTACGATCCTGTTTAACAGGTGCTAAAATTGGTATGTTATTTGTGAAACCTATTCATGCATATTTAGGAAGTCACTTCAAACTTTTCGTGATAATATGGGCATGTAGTTTTTAGTAAAATAATGAATCATGAAAAATCATAAAGTACAATGACTTTCACTGCAGTGATACAATTACGCTAAGCTTATGAATAAGATAATCGGAAACCGCGTCTTTACAGCGGATACTGCTTGCCTAGAATCAATCGAAACTTGAATTTACGACTCTCTGGAGAAATGGTACAATAAAACGATTATAGTGACAATTTTGTTTGTTTTTTTATCATAAATTTGGCAGTAGAATTTTTTAAGCGTATAATATTTCCAGTCAGACTGACTTGTCAACTGTTATTTCGCATCGTCGGATTTTTACAATGAAAATTGTATAAGTATATAACGGCGACTGATTGAATTGTCATGCGCTATTCTAGAATCAATTGAAAACGCTTCAATTGTAGATGATTAAATATATTACACGTTATTATGATCAAAAAACTTACACTAATAAGAGACAATGGTTGCAATTATAGCCGAGCATAGCTGGAAAACATGTAATAAAGTTTTGAACTTCAGCATTATGGTCACAACACTAGAACACACATAAAAAATTTTATCACCTGTTATTATAATTTTACATATTATTACATGGATCGAATGTAATTAGATTATTTAGTTACAATATAAACTTGTATGAAGAAATCGCAAGAAGATCGCACGCAACAGCGTAGGACAGGTGAAAACAATAGTTCACTTGTATGATATACTGAGTTGGTCGTGTCTTATAAGAACAGCACGCATGTTGCCTAACTTATATCAAATCATATCATGT